ATTCTCAAATTATGAAAAAACTTGCCGGGTGAATGTCACTTACAAAGCGATCTTGAATTGGCTGAGGCTTAAGACAAGTCATTCGAAAGGCAAGCCTTTCAATAGGCAAGTGTTAATTTGTAGCCAATTTCCGTCTATTATCCCTTGGGTGCTGGTGCCATTATTGACGCAATTTTCATTGTGTTGGCTTCAGCATTTTTAAATTGTCGTGTATAATTTTCAGATCATCAATGCCCTCCGTCAGACGCATTTGAAAACTTATTTGTGTCTCTTTAATTTCGTATTTGTTGAGTGATGTTTTACTTAAAAATCGCTCAACAAATACGAAATTACGTCATATGAGTTGGATTTCATTATGAATTTTCCGATAGATAACAAACGCGTTTTGTAAAAATACGCCCGTGTTGATTATGTGAAGAGAACGAAGCTCGAAACCAAGAGCTTTGATGATATGATTGTCTGCTTTGCGGAATATGTGAAAGATTTCCGCTAAGTTAGCCTGGAGAATGACAAGGTCAAAGTAACCTGGTCTGTGAGGCTGAATGAGCGTGAAGTAGGCGGCATTTACGGCACGCATGCGCTAAGCCAGAAGCAATTATCAATTGTATAGATGACAGTAACTATATGCAACGTTCAGAACCAAGTGGGTAGACGTGCAAGATGCGAATGCAAATCAAACCAAACCTTTATGCTTTCGTGGCGAAATTGCAGAATTGCGCGGCTTTCTTTAAGTAATATAGCAAATTGATCAGCACATTTTGACGACCTTTCGTCCCAAACGACCCGGGTGGTGATGCTCAAATTATCTTCCGGTTTGGAGCCTGTGTGTTATGTCGATAGACTATAAATGTCGTGTAGCCATCAGTCGCAGACGTCGAAATAGACAATATTTTGAGTACACCGAGCGTTGGCTTACAGCAGCCGATGCCTTCCGAGTGCTACTTTGAAAGAAGATTAAGCATCTCACTTTAACCAAGAAAAAAATTTTAATCGAAGAATTCGTGAGTAATCGATGCACGACCAGAATACCCAAACCTCAGGACATCGACAAACGCAAATTCCGAGAGTAAGCGCTTGCGAGTAAATGCTCTGTGGAAGGTGACCCATTTTACTTTGCCTACTGAATACAATTACGAATATATCCTCTATGACAAACGAAACCTATTTTGTTCACAGAATCGTCCCAGATGCAATAAAACATTCCGAACAAGCTCTAATATTTAGCGTCTTAAAAGGATTTTGTTACAGTATGGTATATCTTTCAAATGTTATTGGAAACACAACCGACTCACAGAATGTTCAATGATGACTTGCTTATCTTACTGAGGTCAGACCTTTGAACGCAAAGGCGGTTTACTTACAAAAAAGCCAGATGCTCATAAATTCCATTCTGCTCCAGACTGAGCCTTTCGAGATAGAATAATTTAGATGTCTACAAACTTACTAAGCTTCAATACTCCGACATCACTCGATGTTGGTAACTTGACGCCACAACAACCCGACAAAGAATAAACTATCCTTGTCGCATCAGTGCTCGTTCTGATACTACCCATCTCCACAAAGCATATCCCGGAAGATCGCAGGATTATGCCGCTTTGATCTACCTTAACAGTGTACCGCGACATACAACCACTTGTCTCTTTCTCACCAAAAGGTCCCCGTAGTTCCCAGCTCACAGCTCTTCGTATCTGTCTTGACAGGGACGAATTGTAGAGACTGTGACATACGGCCGCCAGCTCCTGTATCAGCAAAATTTTAATCTAGCAACCGCTGCACACAGCCGTTCCTATTTTTTTAGTCATGCTCGGAATTTTAACAATATGGTTATGGATAGGTGTCGACAATCATGTATTTTATACAAAAAATGTTGCAGGTTCCTGTCCACCACCACAGTGTTATTTGTTTCAAGCTCATGACCCACTAAAGCCTCACTATAAAGAAGTGTGTGGCACTTCCATTCTCGACTTCATGGCATTCCCGCCAGGTCACCCCTAAAATGATATCACATTTTGATTAACGTCTAAGACCAAAGGCTTTTCACACCGTCGCAGTCTTTAAAATTCATTCAGAAGTTTATACGAATCTTTTACATTTAGCTGAGTGTCGTCGTCGCGCGATGCGTATATAATGATATACTTTCATATTTTCTTTACTTTTGACAAGGATATTGCATCATCCTCGAATCTATCAAATTCGTCATGGGTTCACAAACAACAATACGTAGATATTGACAAAAACAAATCTGAAACGCTTGTCCAGCTCTCTTCAAGAGAGTTGCTTTGTTCAGGGGTGTTCGCATTAACCGAGATCTACACGAATGACAACATTTTGAGTAGGCACCATACACGTCGACTTTCTTCGCGAGGTGTCTGTCTGTCGGCTTTGCGTGGGATCTCAGCCCTTCGTACCTACCGACTAAAAGAGACTTTGACAGATGTTCGATATATAGCATCTGCAGAAACCACAGCGCTATTCAGCAGCCACGACACCCCCCTCTTCAGCGTGGCTGATAACATCGCTCTTTACGTGTCTATAGAGACTCGAACTCCCACGCCCAACTGGATGTTGCGGTCTGGGAGATAAATTAGAAATCCAAAGCGACACTTATTGCTTCCTCGGACGGGTTGTCGTCCAAACCTTTTATGTCGAAGGACCTTTTAAAACGGTAACGGTAACGGTAACGGTAACTGTAACGGTAACGGTAACGGTAACAGTAACGGTCACATTCTTTATTAATGGTGTTCACTTAGGTATGACGGATTTTACACCAAGTCTTTTGGCTGCACGCGGTACGCCTAAAAAATAAGCTCTTTGTATTGTTTGAATGCCTCATTTATGATGTAATTGCCCATACAAAATTCTATTCTTGGCGATTACTAAAATGCCGCGCTATTAGAGTGATCGGGGCTGTCCTTAGAGATTCCAAGCTTCAGCTCTTGTTGATCATGACACGTTATCACTAGCAGTGAATGCATTGAATTGAAAAACTGCGAGATCACATGAGGATATATATTTTTCATTCGTCAGGGATGAGTCAAACATTTAGGATGCTCAAAGAGCCATGAGCAAATGGAGTGGATCGGCTATCCTTCAGGATCATTTGCATGGTTTGATCCTTTGGTGATGATATATCATGACGTGAAAACAAACGAGCGCTTCTCAGAATTTAAAGGTGTGCCATGATATTGTGGAACCAAATTCTGCGTAGCACGCCAGAGGCCGTTGCAGCCGCCATTCGGGCGCAAACACCAAATCCATGAGAAGATGTGCAGTGTCACAGAACGATCGATTGTCTCATGTACATGGCTCTTGATTTGTGATGTATCGCCAGCTGCGCATAAGAGTCGAAATTTCCCCTTCAATGCAAAAAACTACCTCGAGCGGGGGGTACTATTGTGATGGCTGATCATGCCCCAGTAGTTGTCCAACGCATCGGCGCCGATCAAATGTCGATTGACGCAACTAGTTAAGATGCAATATTCATACGCACAGAAACGTAATTTACGTTTGACAGTATTGATCCATAGTCCTGCATTGCATGGAAAGTTGGATGTTGGCATTCATGTTGAATACATCGAAAAATGCGCTTAATTAAACAATTTCGTCAATAAAGACATATGGCTTCACCTCTGGTGTTGAAATATCTCTTTTTGTCAAGTACATGATATACCGGTAGATTTCTTAAAGATCAAGCGCATAGTAGGGTGGGTAAAATTGCTTCTCAAACCAATCTGCAACAGTGAGTTAGACTGGCTAACTACATGAGAAATCTTGTGCAAAATATGCTATGCTGACTAGGTAAGGCCCTTCGACGATCTCCATCAAAAGGGGAAGAAGTGGTAGTGAAACGTGACAGAAGAGGTAACATTTAAAGCTGTGAAAGAGAGCCGCATGTATGTCCAGATCTTGACCTTCAAATCCGGGTCGGCCATTTTACATGCTTCGGCCTTATCCATAGACCGCAATTTGCTTCATGATGATGCCAGAGGCATATACGTATTATTGCGTTTGCTTCAATATTAACCATTACAAACAAAGGCGATATGCAAAACTAATTTATCCCGAAGCAGTAAAAAGTTTATAGTACAGATAGCTGTTTACTATAAATCATATTCTTGTCAAGCTCGAGGTATGTTTGCTATACTTTGTCTGTTGTACAGAAAGCTGTTTACTATAAAGTACATTCTTGTCAAGCTCGAGGTATGTTTGCTCGGCAAGAAGCTATCTGTGATCTATTTACAACATGCATCATTGCGCACTGCGATGCTATCGCCATACTACTCGCGGGTAATGGCGAGATTATTAGTCATCCTAAGTGAGTTTATTGCTCATATCTTCTATTGTGCAGGCCTTGTTAATTTAATGCCGTGGTGGATGCGGTTTCGCATAACCAGAATACGCATTGACATATGCCACAACAGTGATGTCGTGCATCGGGGATGCTATCAAGGCGGCGAGCAAGTCAGACAACATGTTTTGCGCTGTTCAGGTTGCAGAAGAAATAATGACTAAGCTCGTATGTCATTTCAAAAACAATTGAAGCAGGTTTTTGCCCCATGCTTATTATAGCATGAACCTGATTGACAAACAGCGTGTGGTTGTACCTCATAATCTGAAAAATAATGTATGAGACACATTATGCCTCTCTTGGCAAAATGGCGTAGACTTGGAGAGCGCTGTGAACTGATGACCTAATGTGTACAGAAAGGTCAACACTTTCCTGAGCACGTATAAAAATGTGAGCGGATAAGACTCTCGCCGCAAGTTTTAAAATTTTTGGTCAGTCTGCCTTCACCAGCAGAGGGCAGCAGTCCACCAGTTTGTTTTCTTCGCTTTTCTCACGAATTATCGCCACTGTGCACCCAGGGGACAGTTTGATCAATATGTTTAGTTTGCTGCTGTCAGCGATACCGATAATGATGGGGATGCATAAGAGGTTTGGTCATCCTAGCGACTTTTCGGCATCTCCACCATAAGGTTCCGGTCTCGGTGAGATCTGGGTCATCGCTTCTGATCAACACGATGCTGTTATCCTGGCTACACGAATCTATACTCTTTAAATGAAAGAAAGTAAGCATCTTATGCGGAGTGATGACTGAGAGTCAGGTCATGTAGATGCGACAAACAGGTACCAAATGCAGACCGAATGCATAAAATGTTTTGAGGATTGATCAAACGCTGCTGAACACTTACCCGTCTGCGTTCTCTAAGATGAAATTGCGCTTTCGCTGCGTGGATTCGCTACACTCGTAGCTAGAAAACATCATATTACACTTTGAATATATCGAGAAGAATGTAAACACTTTACGTGTTTTATGTAGGCTTGGTAACGGCAAATCACATCCTCGCTGTCATGATTCATTCGGATGCGAAGCATACTGTGGTTGGCGAAATAACGATCACACTGCCCTAAAGCCAAACTGCATGCTGCTCTACTGCAGCGATTGGTTTTGATCGACTTGCAGTGCCTCTTTTAATTAATTATGCAGCCCCTCAACCGTGTCCAAAGATAGCGCATCTGACACGCACCGGAAGTTTCGGAGACAGACGCTTATTCAATTATCAAAACCTCGTGAAAGTCGGCCGTGTGCTGGCGGCCCTTCACCGGTAAGCATTATAAGCCAGGTGTTGATTTGGGTCGGTATGCCCACTCGGTGTACAACCATACCTGAAAAAGCGGAAGGGCTACCCCTTTCAAGTTTTTGTGAACTCGAAGCTTCACTTTGGCAATTTGCTTGGTGTCGGCGAAGCCTACGACCTGGCACACTTCTATTGCTATCTTTTTAAGGAAAAAATGTCTTGATGCACAGTGTAGTTTCCACTAGCGAGCGACCCCTAGTCATAGTTTATGGTCTATAACTGAACAGCAGGATATTTAGTATGATTAGAGACGCTGACAGTACGAACTTAGGTCGAGTGCCCGCCTTGACACCGACGACATGCTTTGTACGTCGCGAAGTCAAGCGACACTTTCGTCTGACATCGGTGTTGTTAAAAGTGCCTCGTCTAATAAAAAAAAAGAGTACGACAACAAGCTTTCATAACTCAACGCTCAGATCAATCCGTGCCCTTCTCCCCAGTGTCATCGGAGAAGAGTATAATCTGCTAAAGTAACTGAATTTCAGTAAATTACGGACCCATATCAGAATGCATGCCGTTTTAAATTTGTCAAGGAGCAGCTTGGCTCTATTTTTACCGGTAATGGTGATGCTGACAACAGCGAGGCGAGTCGTCTTATTACAATATTCACGATCCCCGCATTACCAGATGCATCATATTGAAGACCTATATAAAGTCCTTCGGATGAATAATTAACATTTGTTCAAACTGACAGAACGACCAAGGGTGGTAACGCGTGTGGCAAGAATTCTACTAACTGACACAGAGCACCAAAAAGATTATTACATGTTGAGTCACTAGTTTATAGCGGAGAATAAACCGTATGTCTCTTCTATTTTGAGCTGGCTATAACATGTGTCTCGTACAATACTCTATATTTGAGGCCCTTATCTATCGTACTACCATACGGTAAATGCGGGTCAGTGCGGAGTTCAGCAAGCTGCAATATGAGGACTATATTAGTTATGCTGCTGATGTCACTGCTTGCACTATCTCATAAGTTATGGTGACTGGCTCAGTTGAAAATTGCTAAGTATTATCTTATTACACGGCTATACCTACTCGGCCCTGACTAAGATATTACGTTGCTTCATTCCGCTGGGGTATTATTTTCTTGATTTTAATTCTTGATTTTTCTTGTAC